GGCCCAGCGTGGCCTGGGGACGGGCACTACGGCTTCTTGGCCGGCGCCCGGCCGTGTGCTGGTGGTGACACCCTGGGAATGCATCCTGGCAGCGCCGGGGCCGGCGCTGGCCCCACGGCCCTCCTGCGGGGTAGAGCTGAGCAAAAACCCCGGGGCTGAGCCCGAGGGTCCGGGACCCCGCCAGGAAGGCGCTTTTGGAAGCGGCTGCCTCAAAACCTACAAAAGCATCGGCGGGGGCTTTGCTTGTTTTTTTGCTGTAGAGATTTTGCTGACCCGTGCTGGCAAGCTTCAGATGATAATGGCAACAGGGGATGCAAAGCTCGGCTGGCTTGGGGCCTCGTGCACGTATGTGCTCTATATGAACTCCTTACATTCATACAGAATTACTCATTGCAGCACGTAGATCTCTCTCCAGTTAATCCCAAGCTAGGCTAATCATCAAAATTAGGGGGTTACTATAAAATTTTGCTGACCCGTGCTGGCAAGCTTCAGATGATAATGGCAACAGGGGATGCAAAGCTCGGCTGGCTTGGGGCCTCGTGCACGTATGTGCTCTATATGAACTCCTTACATTCATACAGAATTACTCATTGCAGCACGTAGATCTCTCTCCAGTTAATCCCAAGCTAGGCTAATCATCAAAATTAGGGGGTTACTATAAATTTTGATGGGTCTAACGCTGCGGTTCTGACTCTGCCGAGCAGTTGTCAGCCTGAACACTTGGTCATCTGTTGGGTTTCCGAGCCCTGCTTTGGCATTTTGGACGGTGCCCCGTAGCTGTCGTCCAGCATTTATGAAATGGTTGCCTGCAGCCTGTTTTACAGGAAACTCAAAGAAATTCAGCGGCTTGGCGGGGGTTGCGTGGAAAGGTATGAGCGGGGCCAAGAATTCAACTTTTTTTTTTTCCCCATGCTTGGTATATTAGCTAATGTAGAAATTAAGAAATAATAATAATAATAATCAATAAACCACCTTGAAACCTGTTAGCAGTGTCCGGATGCGGTCTGCTTGCCTTGATCTTCCTGCAGTTCTCTTTCACGCCTGTCTTGTCTGTTCTTTAATCCTTGTGTTGCAGCTTGCTCCGATCAGGAAGGCTTCCTCCCCTCGGGTCACGGGAAACTTCCGCCTGGCATCCTAAAAATGCTATTGCCGGATCTTTGCAACCTACGGATCTTTTCTTTGCAAGCTGCTCCTTTTCTTTGCAAGCTGTTCCAGCTGTGCTGGGATTGCTGCTGAATTACAGCTGGCTCCATAGCGGGTCAGAAGAAACTCACTTTCAAAGCGCAGTAGCTCCGCTGAAGAGTTCAGGGAGAAGAGAGGGAAATGCAAAATAGGCAGAAGATAGGAATAGGCAGAGCAGCGAGCTTACCGAGGGAATTAATTTTGCTGGATCGTGTCAAAGAAGTGCTTTTGTTGATGTTGTAATGGGGGCTAAACTGCACCCCTGTGGTTACGGACTCCTTAATGTTTGCCCCTGTGCTCGCTGGGTGGAGAAGCTTGGTGCCGTAGGATTCAAGCATTAACCACGTCGTGCTGTGAAACGCGGTGCTGCCCGGGGTCTGCTCCCGAGCGCGGTGCCCTGCGCCATGGCCCGGTCCCCTCCCCTGCTGCAACTTGGTTTGCAACTTCTTTGGAGTGAAATCTCCTTGTTTGAAGGCTGGGGGAGCGTGAAGCTCTTGCTCCTTTGTTCACAGCCCTGCTCCTGGGGGAGTTTCCATGCGTCCCCCAAGGATTGCTGGAAAATGGAGAGCTTCTGGATGAGTGCTCGGAGTGATGCTCTCCAGGCTAGGGCACAGGGAGTTGAGCTATGATGTTTGCTTGCTTCCTGCTTATTTTTTTTGGCCCAAGAAACCATGTGTTTTGCTGGCCAGGGCCCTCTCCAGCCCGTTGCTCCATGGTTAGGGCGTTTTCTCGGAAGGTGGGAGGCTCAAAAACAGCAGCTTCGTTGGCAGCTGAGCCAACATCGTAACTCCTGGTGGTGGAGGGGAGTCGTGAGCCAGCATCTCTTCTGGACGCTCCTGCTGCCAGCCCCGCCATCCTGCCCATCCCTGGGACCCTCCAGGATCAATTCCTGCAGGTTCAGCTGCTTTGTGGAGAGGACAACCTTGTGTTGGCAGAAGGCGAATGTGGTGGCAAGGAGAAAGGAGATCTCCTCGCCTGGGAAGGGGGGAGCTGTGCCTAGGACAGGGCTGGAGCTTGAGCCCTGAGATCAAACCGGGCTTGCTCCTTGGAAGTGGGCACTTCCAGTTGTGTGAAGGGGAGGTGATGCCAGAGTCTCCTCTTCCAGCACCAGTGCGTGTTTGCTGGTGAGGACCACACTGCCTGCTTTGCTCTGCTTGGCCTCTTGTTATCCCTGGGGATCTCAAGCTGGAGCCCAGCTGGGACTGTGGTGCCTGGGAAACCTATGGAGAAATGAGCTGCAGGCCGACCACATTCACTGCGTAGTTGTTTCTATGCTCTTATATTTGACTTGCCCAAATCACCGCGGAGCTAAATTCAGTATGCGATGGAAGCTGGGAGCGCAGTTAAGGTCTGGATGCAGAAGTGGGGGTAAATAAGTGGTTTTTACCCCGGAGTTACTGCTGGCACTTCCCTCGGTAGGGTGTAGATGTGAGAGGTGCTTCTGGAATGGCGTTTTCAGCTTCAGCTCTGCCTTTCTTGGTTGCTGCCGGTGGAAGTTGCTGCCAAAAGGGGTAGGAGTCCTGGGCACCTGCATCATGTCAGACAAACATTTGCAGCCTGGTTGAAATGGAAAAACTCAGTCGTGCAAAGGAGCAGGAGGGCACGAGGCAGCTGCTCGTGAACGCTTGGATGTGTGGTTTGACGGAGGCATTAAATACCCTTCAATTAAGGAAAAAATGCCAAATTTAACAGTATTGGCTCTAAGAGCCAGTCAGTTTTCCCTGGCTGCTTAATCACCACTTGCATGTTGTCATCCCGGGAGAGCAATGCCTTCACCTTGTAATTAGTGCTTAAGCAGTCCAAGCTAGTTTCCATTTGTCAAACAATTAATAAATGCATCATCTCCTTGAAGTAACTCCTAGCTCGTTTAGAGCTAGGGGATTATTTTTTATAAATCCTGGAGTCGGAGCCAGTATTTCTTGCCGTCAGGACTTTTTTTTTTTTTTTTTTTTTTTTTATCGTCGGGGCCGGCTGGGAGCCTTCAATCTTGCTTGCAGGTTTGGGTCTTGCTTGGAGAGTTGGACCTGGCAGTGCCCTGCCCTGCCCTGCCCTGCCCTGCCCTGCCCTGCCCAGGGAGACCTTACAGGCCCATCGCTTCCCCAATATGTGTCTTAGAAAGCCAAAAGCCATGCCGTAGCTCTCTGCATGAAGGGAAAAAGCTGGGTTTTCCTAACCCAGGTCAGGTGTGCCGCAGCCCGTGGGGAGTTGCACCTCTGTTGCTCAGAGTGGTGGTTCAAGATGTGGAGCAGCACAAGCAGGTCTGGAGGAGGGTCATGAAGATGACCAGGGAGCTGGAGCACCTTCCCCTACAAGGACGGGCTGAGAGAGTTGGGCTTGTTCAGCCTGGAGAAGAGAAGGCTCCAGGGAGACCTTATAGGAGCCTTTCTGTACTTAAAGGTGGCCTATAGGAAAGATGGGGAGGGACTTTTTTATCAGGGAGTGTTGTGATGGGGTAAGGGGTAATGGTTTAAAACCAAAATAGGGTAGATTTAGATGGGTATAAGGAAGAAATTCTTTACAATGCATGTGGTGAGGCACTGGAACGGGTTGCCCAGAGAATCTGTGGATGCCCCATCCCTGGAAATGTTCAAGGCCAAGTTGGATGGGGCTTTGGGCAACCTGTTCTGGTAGAAGGTGTCCTTGCCCATGACAGGGAGGTTGGACTGGATGAGCTTTAAGGTCTTTGTACTGGGTTAGGCTGAGATGGGGTTAATTTTCCCCGTAGCAGCCCCCATAGCACTGTACTCTGTATTGGGAGCTGGAAGGGTGTTGATAACCCACCAGTGCTTTGGCTCCTGCTGAGCAGCACTCCCACAGCATCAAGGCTGTGTCTCCAACATTCCCCCCTCACCGGTAGGCTGGGGGTGGGCAAGATTTTGGGAGGGGACATAGCCAAGACACCTGACCCAAACTGACCAAAGGGGTATTTCACACCATATGATGTCTGCTCAGCAATAAAAGCTAAGGGAAAGAAGAAGAGGGGGCATTTATTATGATATTTGTCTTCTGGAGCAACTGCTACCCATAGGGAAGCCCTGCTTCCCGGGAAGTGGCTGGACATTGGCTGCTGATGGGAATTAGCGAATAAAAATCTTTGTTTTCCTCTGCTTCGCATGCAGCCTTTGTGTTTGCTTTATTAAACTGCCTTTATCTTGACCCACAAGGGTTTTTTTCCATCTTATTTTCTCCCTCCCCATATTGCTGAGGAGGGGGGCAGTAGAGTGGCTTGGTGGGCACCCGGCATCCAGCCAAGGTCAACCCAAACCATTCTGTGATGAGCCAGGTGGGCGGGAAGTGCGGCTGTTGGTGCTTTCCATTCCCCACCTGCTCCTGGGATTTGAGCAGCACATTTCTAATGCATTTTATTTTACGTTCCTGCATGGCAGGGGATAGCTACTGTTCCCAAATGAGGGCTGGGGAAGCTGACACCCAGGATTTGATGGAGGAAGGATTGGATGTGGGTATCCCTTGACCAAAGCTGGCTTCCAAGCTGTAGGAGACTCTACAGTGGGGGCCAGGAAGGTTTTCCCATCACTGCTTTCCATTCTGCTCAGGGGCTGAAGTACCGTATCTCTTGAAACGTAAAAGCAAATTATGCTGGAAGTGCTTGTATCTTCCAAGGCATCAATGATGTGGTGGTGCCGGTGTGTGCTGTGTTGAGGTGGAACGCTGCTGAAGGCTACGTGGTTAAGCTAAACTGTTTGTCCTGCCTAGTGGGCAATCCCAAGTAAGGTACGACTGTTTTTTCTACCCCCCCCAGACATGCCGTCTGTATATTCTACCTAGTTCTCCGTGCCCTGGATACTATAGAGGATGACATGACCATCAGCTTAGATGTAAAAGCCCCGATGCTGCACGAGTTTCACTCCTATCTCTATCAACCTGAGTGGAAATACATGGAGAGCAAGGAGAAGGACCGGCAGGTGCTCGAGGACTTCCCAACGGTAAGATCATAGAATCATAGAATAGAATCATAGAATCACTTTGGTTGGAAAAGACCTTTAAGATCATTGAGTCCAACCTTTAACCTAACCCACCTCCTTGCTTCAGCTGCTTTCTGTCCCCTTTGTGTGCACGGTTGCCTCTCCACGTCACACCTGAGCTCATTCATAGAATAGAATCATAGAACCGTTTAGGTTGGAAAAACCCTTTAAGATCATCAATTCCAACCGTTTCCCTACCCCTGCCATCCCACCACTAAACCCTGGCCCTAAGCACCTCGTCCGCCCGGCTTTTAATTTCCCCCAGGGATGGGGACTCCACCCCTTCCCTGGGCGGCCTGTTCCAATGCGTAACAACCCTTTTGGTGAAAAAATTTCCTAATGTCCAACTTAAACCTGCCCTGGTGCAACTTGAGGCCATTTCCCCTCATCCCATCGCCCATTACCTAGGAGAAGAGACCAACACCCACCTCACTACAACCTACTTTCAGGTAGTTGTAGAGGGCAATAAGGTCTCCTCTCAGTCCCCAGCGAGCCCGTAGCTCTTTGGAAGGGCTACATATCCCCTGCACGTGGGGCTGGATGCAGAGCTGGAGTGAGAAACCCAAATATTGTGCAACCTCTACATGAGCCAGAGATAACCTGGCTGTGGAAAAGTGCCGGATCTAAAAAACGGCTTCTTGCCTCCCCTGTTGGAAGAGTAAATGACTCGTGTGTTGTGGAGAGCGGTTTGGATTTGTTGCCCAATGCTTTGGTTGGGCGTCCTGTGACCCCTGACAGATAGGGAGAGGAGGAAAGCTTGTCTGGCATCTGGCTTGTGGATGGAGCAGCGTTTGCAGTGGTCCTGCAGGATCTGCTCTAGACCTACAGGAGTCTGTCCACGGATCTTTGACATGCATATAAGATAAAATGCACCCTCACCGTTAGTAACAGTATTTCTCAAAGTCCTACTGCTCTAAGGATCCTTCTAAAAGGAAGCCACAGAGGGTCTGCATCTCCACTAGCAGGGTCAGCAGTACTGGAGCCTGTTCTCTGACCTGGAAGCCAATGGGGAAAGCCTGTCCACGTCCAAGCTGTTCAACTCCCTCAGCATCCAGAATAGCGTGGTTGCATCCCAGACTGTCCTTAAGATGTGGTTTCTGGACCACGCTACTTCCCAGGCTCTGCCTGGGGATTGCCTGGGGTCAGAAGTACGTCGGGGACCATGCTAACGGGGTAGCAGTGCAGGTGATTGAGTCCATGCTCGATATGGAAGTTACTGGTGTGGCTGTGCCTGTAGGGCCTTGGCTCAGTGCTATAGGCTCTTGGGATGGTAGGCAGCAGAGCTGAAACCAGGATGCTTCTCCCAGGCTCCTACCAGATTTCAGGCCCAGCAGGAGCAATGGGATGATGGAGCTTTGCCGTGCTGAGCCGCAGCATCTCCCAGTGCCGAAGGGGAGCCCGCCTGGCCAGTTGTCCTAGAGGGGATCCATCAGGCTGACAGCAGAAGGAGCTGCTGTGGCCAGACAGCAAGGCTGAGCTCCGCTGAGCGGGGATACAGACGTCTGGTTTTGGTGAGGGCACAAGGACTGGCCCTTGGTGGATGCTGCAGTTTTTCTGTTGCCCACATTGACCAAGAGTAACGGCATTTACTTTTTAGGGTTTTTTTTTAAGCTCTGTTTAAGAAAAAGGATAATGGTTATAGTGAGGAGCATTTAATTTTCTGAGGAAGTTCTGTTTTCTTCAGCTTTTTACCATTTCAGATTTATTCTGCCCTTATCGGGCTTTCCCTAGCAGTGGGAATGGGATAAAGGTTTGGAAAACTGAGGTGTATGGTACATTTTGATGCTCAGCCTCAGGGTAACAGCGACGGTGCCCTATGCGGGAGGGGCATGCGCTATAGGAGGCGGCTGTGTCAGGGGATTCTTGATGTCTAGCGATAGAGATGTGGTAGGTATGCCAATGGCTTGGTGCTTTAGAAAAGCTTTTGAGAAGGTGTTTATGGTACTTGGTCATTCTTTTTTGGTGTGCACTGTCCACTGGGGCAAGCTGAGTTCCTATTCAAGTATGATTTTAATAATATTTGGTAGAGGTTCAGACTGCTGTCCTTAGGGGACACACGCCCTGGGCTGGCTGTAGTTACCCACTGATGGAGAATAAAGCTCAGCACAATAAAATGTGATGCTCCACAGTTTTGGGAAGGGGAGGATGCGCTTTTTAGGTTTTTTTCAGTGTGAGAGCAGTTGAGTCACTGAATCATGTTACTGGACATGCAGAAGAAAGATCTCACGCTTTTTCCGTTGCTTGATGCCCTTCCAGTTGTGCAAAATGTGCCTTGCAGAGCCAGAGCTGGAGAGGGCTCAGGAGATCAGAGCACCAGAAACCTCCCGTGTCTTTTCCTGTGGTTGGCGTGATGGAGTGCTCTCACAAATTACAAAAAGAAAAAACCCAACTCTGTGAACCAAGCGTAGCTAGTTTTGTCCTGCAACTCCCAGATGATACCAGTCCAAGGCCACAGAGCCTTCCCAAAGCTATTGCTGTCTGATCTGCTGCCAGAGACCATACCGTTTAGACTGAGAACAGACTGAGCCTGTGCTTGAAGGGCCTTGAAACAACTCTGGTCGTGGGAGTTGTCCTAGATCTCCAGCCAGGGTGGGATAAGAGCCTGGTAAACAGTCTTTTTCTGCGTTCCTAATAAATGTTGAGCTCTGCTGTTTTTTCCTGACGCTGTTTTTTTTTCCTCCTGGTGGTTTGTGCTGTAGATCTCCATGGAGTTCAGGAACCTGTCAAAAGTCTACCAGGACGTGATTTCGGATATCTGCCACAAGATGGGCGTTGGGATGGCGGAGTTCTTGGAGAAGAAGGTGGACTCTCAGCACGAGTGGGATAAGGTAAGTCAGCCCGGACAGAGGACTGGACTGAACAGCAGTAGGGTCCACCTTGTCTCTGTGGAAAGAGGAGGCAGAGCATCCCAGTGGAAAAGGGTTCAGCTGGATGAGGGAGGCTGTGTGGGCTCGGGAAGGCTTCTGAGGGACCGCCGGCCCTGTGGGTAATGGGAGGATGGTGTGGGTTGTTGGTGTTGCCCACCAGCACTTGTTTTGGGTGACCCATCACATCAGCTGTTCCCCTGTGGACGATTCTTTTGGCTGGTGGAGGCAGAGTGGAGGCACCTTGGTGGGACGTCCTTGGTGAGGTGTTTGCTGGGCATGGGAAAGCTGAGACGTCCCAGGGAGGGCTGTCAGAACATGCAGAAAATGTACGGTCGATGACTTCTGAGCATCGTTTTTGTAAAACTCACTCTGGAAAATAGGCAGCCCTTTGTAACCGCTCCTTTTATCTTTTTTTCTCTGCCCCTTCCCCTCTCGGTGCCTCGCAGTACTGTCACTATGTTGCTGGGCTGGTGGGGATCGGCCTTTCCCGTCTCTTCTCTGCATCAGAGCTAGAAGATCCTATTGTCGGGCAAGACACAGAGCTGGCGAACTCCATGGGCCTCTTCCTGCAGAAAACCAACATCATCCGTGACTATCTGGAGGACCAGCTGGAAGGAAGGGAGTTCTGGCCCAAAGAGGTGAGGGAAAACATGGCCTTGGGGCAAGCGTTTCTGCTGTGCCTCTTTGGGAATTGCACTAAGACTGAAGGTGCTGCTGTTGCTGCTCTGATACAGTGAGTTGCGTCCTTTCGGTAGAAGGGTTCCTGCTGGGGTTTCCTTCGAAATCCCCAAAGCCAGGGTTTTTCCCACCCTTTGTTGGTGTCCCTTGACAGCCTTTCATACTTCTGTCCAAGACCTGTAATAGATGGAGCCAACCGCTTCCCAGGACACCTGTCTTGGGAATGTTAGAGGGTGCATAGCAGAAGGTGCGCAGCTAAAACTGTAGCATCTCTCATGTCCCTTTAAATCAAAGTTAACAGGAGAGGCATGATGGTCTGCTTTAATTGTATTAAGACCCTACAGTAAAGCTCCGCTGTGTAAAATTGTTACTCTGGGTTGTACATCTCCTTGGTAGTAACAGTTCTTCTAATGATGGTTAAGTTCCACATCTGTCTACAGCTTGTCTGGGTACAACACTGCATCTCCCTACACTGCCAAGAAAGAACTTGTTGGGCAGCTCTTCCCCCCTCTCCGTTACATCTGCTCTAGGGATGAGGGAGGCTAAGACTGGGTGAGATCTCGAGGTTACCCAGGCCACTCCCAAAGGCAGGATCAGCTCTGCCTGTGTCTGACACGTGCTTGTCCGCTGTTCTTGAAGCCTTCCAAGAATTTTTCTCTCCCTCTCCACGCAGCTGACCTGTCTCATAGAGCATTTCTTGATGTCAGCCTGCTGTGTGAGGCATCTCTTCCATGCCTTGCCTAGAAAAGATGTGGAGATGAGTTTGCGTCCTTCTTCTTTACAATCCCTTTGTATATATGAAGGCCACTGTCACGTCTCTGGAGCCTGCCATTCCTTCTTTTCTTTAGCCTAGCAAGCCCCAATGCTTCAAGGCTTTCATGGGTCTCTGGTGATTCCTGTTGCTCTCCCAGACCTCAGAGTGTTATCGATGTCTCTTACGGCATGAATGTACCCTCCAACTTGTGAGTCCTTATCTTGGTGTTTAGGTTTGGAGCAGATACGCAAAGAAGCTCTCGGATCTTGCCAAACCAGAGAATATCGATATGGCTGTCCAGTGTCTGAATGAGCTCATCACCAACGCCCTTCACCATGTTCCTGATGTCCTCACATACTTATCCCGCCTCAAAAACCAAAGCGTCTTCAACTTCTGCGCTATCCCCCAGGTGAGTTATGTTTTCAAGTGGTTCTTCACCGTCTGCAGCCCAGCTGATGTAGAAGTTGGGTGAAGGAGGTCATGTTAGCCTGTTTTACTCTCCATCTTTTCTGTCTCTTCCTTCTTTCACGTTACCTATCGTTTCTGCTGCCGGTGAGATTGTGGCTTCACTCCAGAGTGTTTTGCCATCGATTTCGTTAGAGCCAAGGCTACTACTCCCTTGGCAAGCTCCTCGCAGCGCAGTAAGGGCTCTTGGTGTTTCTCCTTAGGTGATGGCTATCGCCACGTTGGCTGCCTGCTATAACAACAAGCAGGTTTTCAGGGGTGTCGTGAAGATCCGGAAGGGCCAAGCTGTCACTTTAATGATGGATGCCACAAACATACAAGCTGTCAAAGCCATCATGTACCAGTATGTGGAAGAGGTAGGTTGACCAGCTTGCTTTGAGTAATTTCTGGTTGGTTCTGTCTTCATTCCTAGTGTGGAATTGGGAGGACACGTGAATCTGTTCATCCTTTCCTTATGTCTCCTACTCAGTTCAAGGGTGCCAGGGCACAGTGACCCTAACGTGGTTTTGGCTTGAACCAAACTGGGTGCTCAATGCATTCCCTTGAACGTACCCTTGGTCTGTGCCTGTGTTGAGAGGTAGAGACCGAAGTCCTGCCCTCCTTCTGGTGGAGAACCAGAGGAGTCTGCTGACACAGCGCAGGTCTTCACCTGGGCTGAGCAGGCACAGAGGACATCTGAACACGTTGCATCATCTCCCCACGGGCTGCTCCAGCGAGCAGTCTTGTTTTCTCTGTGATATGGCAGAGTGATATGGCCATTTCCTTGTGCTCCGTGGCCAACAGTAGAAAAGGGCATCTCTTCACAGGCGGTTAAAGCAGCAGAACTCCTGACTTGAGGGTGGAGGTTAAAAGTTCATGTGGAGGAACAACTGGCAGATGGTTTCATGGCAAAAAACCAACAAACAAACCCCACCCCCCAAAACCACATCCAGCGAGGGCTGTTAAATCAAAAGACATTGCTTCTGCACCAGGGAGTCCCCAAACCGTGGGTTATTAGAGCTCCCTTTGTGGGCTGGCCAACCCCATGGCGGAGGACAATGACACCCCAGCACCTTAGCCCAAAAGAGGGTCTCTGCTTGCGCACGCCTCCCTAAGGCTCATGCAGACAAGTATCTCAAAGGCCATGGGATTTGCAGAGCGCGAAGAGAAAAATCCCAAAGACCATGGGGTTATCCGATGGAGGTGGCCATTTCCTGCCAGTCACATCAGCTGCTGGTCATACTGGGGTGTTCTCACTGATTTAAGGTGGGCTGCAGCACACTGGCAGTGAGGATCACGGGGCAAGAACCGCTGGTCCCAGCAACACCACTTGCGGTTGAGGGATTGTGTCCGAGGCCGTGTGGTCCGTCTCCCGTCATGGGGTGCCCTCAAGAGGCTGCTTGGCTTAGTGCACTTCTCAAGGGAAATGGGCTCTGGCCCCATCCAGGCATCCCTTGCAACCGGTCCTTGCTCCACAGCAGTCCACCACTGAGGTTGCTCTTGCGGACACGGTGGCCCTTAAGGCTTCTTCTTCTGTCCCATTTGTCTCCTCAACCTTGGGTGGGAACTGTAACTCCTCTTTTCTCCCTCCCCAGATCTACCAGAAGATCCCAAGCACGGACCCATCATCCAACAAGACGCAGCAGGTCATCGCCTCCATCCGTGCCATGAGCCTGCCCGGTGGCCCCATGGCATCACGCCACCACTACTCCCCCATCTACCTGTCGTGCGCCATGCTCCTGGCGGCCCTGAGCTGGCAGTACCTCAGCACCATCTCCAAGGCCACTGAGGAGTATGTCCAGGCGGGCGAGAACTGATGGGCAGCGGGTGGGCGGGGGGAGAGCTGGTCGGCGGATGGGCAGAGGAGGCAGGAGGCTCCTGGTCCCCTGCCGGTGGGGATGGCCAGGCAGGGGGGGGCCACGGGGCCTGGGATGGTGACAAGGATGGGACACGCCGGTGACCTGCAGCCCCAGGGCAATAGCGCAGCGTTGCTGGACTCTGCTCCTCACCGCCCTGGCCATGTGCTTGGATGGTTGCAAACGCTAATCGGAGTCTTACTGTTTGGGATTGAACATTTTTTTTCCCTTCTTTCCTGTTGGACAGTTTACCTGAATTATTTTTTTGTTTTGGTTAGGATGGTTTAAAATAGAAACTCCAGTTGCCTCTTTCCTTGTTTGAGACTGAGACACCTTTCCAGCTTGGAGATGAGCAAAACCTTCTGGGTTTTGCCTCCCTTTCTTAGGCAGTGTCTTTCCCATCGCCTCTGGTGCCTGCTCTGCACTGGAAGGAGACACTGCTTCAGCTGGGAGAGGAATACGCTTCCTTATATCCAGGAAAAAAGCTCTCGCCACCTTCTGGCCCTCAGCCCAGGCTGGCTGATATCCTGCAGCCTGGAAACAGGCAGAGGCAATCTTTACATTTCTGTTGTTGTGCCGAAGGAGGTTGTTAGGCTGGAAATGAGCCCTTTTAATGTTAAGTACATAGGAGGTGGGATGCTCTGTCCACTTTAATGTGCCCCCATGAAAGTCATCTATTGCAGCTCCCTGCCCTCTAGCAGATGGCACCCTGCACTTGCAAAGCTTCCTATTTTAGCAGCTGGGGAGGTGGTGAAACGGAGGAGATGGGAGCTGCTTGCATGGCCCCGAGCCAATAACCCCACGCCTGACTCCACTGTGGGGTCTGGGCTCTGAACCCCTTCTTCAGCCCAAGGGGGACGGATGGGTGGCCGTGGCAGAGCAGCACCATCACAGCTGCTCCGGGTGCCTCTGCAAGGCATGGGAGCAAGGGTCTGCGCCCTGCTGCCCCTCATGGGATGCTTTTTTGGGGGGGGGCCTTAGTGCTTTGGCCACCCTGAAAGGCATTAGTGGTCCCTGCCTCAGGCTGGGAATGCTTGAGCCACTGAGGCAGGGGGACACAGGGCAGGGTTCCCTGGG